TTTTCTGATTTATTGTAGAGATGAGGTCTCGCCGCCCAGGTGGGTCTCGAACCCGCGGGCTCAGGCAATCCACTCACCTCAGCCTCCCAAAGGTGTGGGATTACAGGCTGAGCCACGGAGCCCGGCTCAGTCTGCCTCTTAACTTGACCTAGGAACAGCACTTACCATATCTGATCACTCCCTCCTCGATTCATTTTCTTCACATGGCTTCCAAGACACTACCTGCTCTTGATATCCTACTGACTGGGTGGTCATGCCGTCTCATTCACCACGGCTACTTCCAAAGCTGGAAGTGCTTCTGAGTTCATACCGTGGTCCTCTTTTCTCCTTTAATCTCCAGCCTCTCTAATGGTGATCGCATCCAGTCTCAAGGCTTTAAATAGCATCTAATATGTTGAAGACGCCTCAATTTTTATTTTCAATAATTATTTATCTTAATTCCAAATTTGTATATCCAACTGCCTCTCACATTTTACTTGGATGTCTAATAGACATCTCAAACCTAACACATTCAATACTATAATCACGATCTTTTCCCTCAAACCTGTTCTACCTGCAGTCTCTGCTACCTCAGTTCATGGCTTCTAGTTGTTCAGGCCAGAAACCTTATTGCTACCCTTAAGGGCTCCCTTCCTCTCACTTGCCATATCAAATCCATTGGAAAATTTTCCACCTTCAAAATATAGATAGGCAAAAAGAGAACGGGAAGAAAAAATAGCTCGAGGGTTAACATGAACGAAGACTATGAGCATAATGTAAAAGTTAAGAAACAGATGTTACTGGGACCCAAGGCCGCTATTTGGGAATAACAGTAAATACATTTCCATAGCGAATAGGTTACATTCATATCATGAAGGTACCAAAGACAGGCAAAAAAACAAAGGCAGGTGTTACAAGTTCCTTAACCATGGAAAGTTTTCCACATCCCCCCACCCCACTAAAAAAAAACCAGTGTGAGAGGTATAAGGACCATAGTTGGGGAGGGAGAAAGAGGCAATTAAGCTTTAAAGAGAACAATTTAAACTTTATGCACCATTTTGGACCCTTCAAATCCCAAATCAACATTTACAAATTTGTCGTGTCCCATAACTTTTACTTAGAAGGCTTTCCTCTTCTGGGACCTTCCAAGGGCCCTCTCCACCACAATGCTTCTCATCCATGCCATTCTTCATGGGCCACCTCGGCCTCTGGATATAGAGTTTTCCATGCTACTGTACTTCTCCATGCTAGATTTTCTCACATATTACACTATATACTTTCCTTGGCAAATTCCTTGTGGATGTCTCCATCACCTTCTTAGGCCTCCTGTGTGCTGCATGCTGCACACTCAAGATGCTGCTTTGACCCAGGCTTCATCATGTCAAGTTTCCTCACATAAAAACACATCTCACTCTCAGCCTACACCAAGTGATCATCTTTATAACCAGGCTCCACAACTATTTCCAATGTAAGAATTTGTCATCTTAAAACCATTTTCATCTAGTTGTCTTTCTTACTATTTACCTACTCTGGTAACCTTATTTATATGTCAAATGTCAGGGCTTGAAATCTTTCAGGGAGGTTATGCTCAGGATATTTATCTATGATTGATTCTCAAGTGTCAAATTTAAAGGTATGTATAAAGAAATCTGTCATCTGAAACAGTAGGGTTCCAGAAATGTCAAAAATAGATTGCATGAAAATTCAACTCATATAGTAAGCTGAAGGTCATACAACACAAACAAGAAGCAATTTTCAAGAATCCTCCTGAGGCGGTAACACCATAGTGGTTAAAAGCCCAAACTTTAGTAGCAGGATTACATTTCTAGGCTAATGTGACTTTGGGTACATGTTTTAGCCTATTTCCAAACCTGTCCACTGGGAAATGAATATGACTTAAAAGGACAACAACGAGGGATCTTTGTGATGATGAAACTGTTCTGTATCTTGACTGTATCAGTATCAATATCCTGGTTAAAATATTGTGTAACCGTTTTTCAAGATGTTATTGGGGAAAACTGAGTATAGGTTACATAAGATCTCTGTATTTTTTTTTTTTTTTTGAGATGAAGCCTATTTGCCTAGGCTGATCTCAAACTCCTGAGCTCAAGCGATCCTCCAGCCTCACTAGTAGCTGGGATTATAGGCATAAGCCACAATGCCTGGGTTCTATATTATTTCTTGCAATATGTGAATCTGCAACTATCTCCAAATAAAAACTTTAGTTTAAAAGTCACTGTAAATACTGGCTTAAATTTTATATTACTTTCAAAACTATCCTAGACAATCACATATCTTTTCTAATTTTCTGAAAGCAATAAACAAAATCAGACAGTATATTATTTTAAACTTAGCAAAGACATAACCGGAAGGTGGCGCTATTACCACATAAATATACCACAGTAAGAGGCAACTGACTTAAATACATCAGAAACAAAGAAATAGTAGATTTTTTTTTCATTCAAATTTACAAATGCTAACCTCAATTCAGGAATATTTTCAATATGTGCCTTACCTGATGTTTTGAAAAATACAATTTTCATAAATCACTAAAAAATAGACAACATACACAAATCCTACACGGACTAACAAACGCTTCCAAAGAAGACCTGGTATTAAGCTGTTATACCAAATCTGGTACTAAGCTGTTACATCTTTGTATTTTTGATATAAATATTTTTTGTCTTGCCAACTGTTAACAGAACTTTTGATGAAGGCTTGGGCACCACTTAAAGAAAATTTCTGAACTGCAACTAAAAGTAAAAGAAAAGTTGAAGAAAGAATCTTTTGCTAAAGCAAAATGTTACAAGTTTTCCTTCACATTTTGGGTTTAAGACAAAAAACATTGAGAATACTTTTCAGGAGGAAAAATTTAAGTTGCATCAGTTGATAAAAATTCCCTAAACAGATGTATCTTTTATCCAACTCCATCATTTTTACATAATGTAGAAAGTGGATTTCCAAAGCACACAGACGCTAGCTGAAGAGGAGCTGAAGCCAGACCCCAGGACTCCTGGTCTAAGACAGCCGCTGCAACAGACCAATGAGACACCAAGGCAGAAAAAAACTTTTCCTGTAAAAGGCAGTATTTTTACTTTAACTGTGTATTGTTAGTCTGAGTTTAATAGTCAGAAGCTTTTAGATCTTTTCAAAAATGGACAAAATGTGCCCATAAGTCAGCTTATGATTCCATAAAACTTAGCTACTTCGTTAGAGACATCTAAATAAGGTGAGTGACATCAACAGCAAGAGTAGCAGTAGATAAGCATGATGGTACTAATGAGGTGTCCAAGATCCAGTGGGAAAGAGAGGACCAGAGGTTGGAACACCAGTCACTATCAAGGAAAGAAGACCCCGGACAAGTGCAATTGAGATTGCTACCCAGGCTATCATCATCTCCATGGCTGGTGTGGACACAAAAGCATGGGTTATACATGCAATGGCATGTATTGATTAAGAAAATATCACAATTTAGAAAAATAAAGTGACTGGATGTGATACAAAATTGAAACCTCACTTGCTAAGCCCAAAGAAGTTCTTGGAAACAAAGTCCTTCCCAAATATTAACTATTGTCTACTATTATTAACTATAATATTAACTATTCCCCTTAAGCACTGAACATATTACACATGGGGGTACCAAACATAAAATAAAAGCCATGGTGTAATAAGAACCATAGAAAACCTAACAGGTGAAACACAATGACCCAAACCTCAAGATCAAGATCCCTGCATTCTAGGACAAATGTGTTCCAATGTAGAAACGGCAAATTAGAACACAAATACTAAGTAGTTATGCTGCTGTTCCACAGCTTGACTCACAAGTCATTTGGCTAAACAGAGACCTGATGGCCTAAGATGAAGAAAACAGTATATTCTAAGTGGTCTTAGAAGAAAGAGAGATTGAGAGAGAAAAAGAGTAGAACACTAAGTGGATATACTTGGGAGAGGAGAGTGTCCACAGGCTAGTAGGAAGCAACTGGGTTTATTTGGCTGAGTTACTCTAGCCAAGTCCTAGGTAAAGGTCCTAATGATGTTCCCAAAAAGCACAAGTAGAAGCCAGCAGCTCCAGCTTTGTTGATAACCTGCCCCACACACGTCAGTGTAAATCCTCTTCTTTCTTGGGGTTTCAATTTCTTTCAACTAGCATTGATAGCAGGGTTTTGGCCTAGTTGATCTTTAAGATGTCCCTCCGTTTTTGAAGAAGCTACAGGTCCAGACGTACATTGTGATGCCTGAGCAATGGCAGGAATAGGATGGTCCAGAAAAGTTCCAGCAGGACTTGAATAGATGGAAGGAGACACTCTATGAACATACAAGAAAAAACAGGACAGGACAATGGACTGGACATAAATAAAAGACATCTAAAATCATTGTTGGCTGCATTATAGAAAGAATATTCCAGAATTTCAAAAGTATGATTTATACTTCAAAGTAAATAGGGAAACTCTTTTCTCTAACATGTGAAGTTCATACATTCTATATTAATGCCCTGTCCTCATTCAGTCAAGAAGCACTGGAGCTTTACTTGTGCACCAGGCTCTGGATATACACTGTACACTACAGCAGACATGGGACATTTATTATCTTCAGAGAATATTTCCACAAAGCAGTCTCTGACACTTGACATGGAGTTTTTTATGAGTGTATCTCAATGACCCAACTGAAGATCAATATGCCCTCTGCACTCATTATGCCCAATCTAACCAATAATCAAGCATTATAATAAACCCAGATGATTTCTATGCTCAGAACATATTTAATTTTCCCTTTGAGCACGTATTTTTTAATTAACCAAAGTAAGTTATTTTTTTTCAAAAAATCATCTTTCCTTATACAAGTTGATGTGAAGCTATGCCTTAAGAATTCACAGATCTGAAGTTTCTTATTCTTCCAAAGATTACCAAATAATTACTTTGTTCTTCAAAATGTAAATTCTAGTCAATTAACCAAACACATTCCCATACTAGTTTTATTTACTTGCTCACACAAGAGTTAAACCAAACAAAGTGAGAAATAAGTCAGAATAAATTCTGAGCAGTTTATTCTCGAGTATTACAGTGTTCAACCAGTTTGACATATAAAGATAACAAACATAACAGCAAACATTGGGAGGCACACATATATATTCCCATTCTGAAAGAAGACATGTTATATATACAGAAAAAAATGCAGCAAATATTAAGGTATTCAAAGGAATTTTTGACATTTCAGATGTGACATATTTACAAGAAAAGTGTAATTTTAAAATAATTAAATAATTTCCAGACTTATAAAAGAACTGAGATAAATATTAGGAGACCCTGACAATCACAAGAACAACTTACTATTCTACTGAATAAGGGCAGTTCTATAAAAAAGTCCCAAAATAGAACTAATATTTTGCCACCATGAAATATATCAAATAGCCAATACCAAAATATGCTAAAATGAACATGCAATGTGAAAGCTGTACCCCAAAAAAAACAGCACTAGGCCTCTTGAATATCACAAAGTGTCTATACAAGATTTCTTAGGTGTGTTCATGAAATAGGAACTCTCAAAAGAGTCATTAGAATAGACATATCAACAGAAAAAGTGATAACTACTTAAAATCTTTTCATCCTATCATTTTCAAATGTAGCTGCAAAAGAGAAAAAATCTAAATAGAACTATTAAAAAATATTAGCTTATGAATAAAAGATTGAGTGGTGCATTCTTTATGCATATGGATTTTCAGACAGATGTAATTCTAGTATAATATATCTTAACCTCTGGACTCGACCACTGTAGTAGGAAATTTCTCTTTCTCTGTCTCAGACAAGAAGTCATCTTAGAAAATGAAAAGGAGAAACTTTTGGTGATATGTATGAATTCAAAACAAAACAGTACTGTAAAATGGCAAAATACCATAAAATAGCAGCATGTGAAATTCAAGATGTTTTCTTAAAGCAAACGTTTAAGACTGAACCGCAAAAATGGTCTGTAATTCAACACACGAAATTAAGGATTCTTTAGAAAGGTTGTTATATTTATGAAATCCCCATGACTAAATTTTTAAAACATTTATATTGCACAGGTAGTAGAATACCATCATCCTGGTATCTCTAGCATAAGATGCTATCTTATTTAACATATTAAACTATGCTACTAAAAATTAATTTTATTCCAATATTTAAAACCAATCATGTAGGACTTTTAAGCACATTAATCTCAAAATGTTCCTAAACAAGATGAAAAAACACAGGCACTTGAAATAGGTTATTAGTGACAAAAAGTAGAGGCCACAACAAGTTCATGACTAAGGGCAGTTATGTCTTTACATATAAACTTGAGGTCTTTCACGGATCCAAATTGAGAAATAAAAACTATTTAAAAACCTTGATTAAAAAAAAAAATCAGATCTCCCCAAAAATTTCCCACCAGATAACTTTTTTAACACTCATTGCTCCAAGTTGTGACTAAGCATTTTCAAACAAATGTCTAAGATATAGTTGTTTGAATTCTAATTTTCCCCTTTTTTCTACCCTAGTACAATCTACAACCCTCACCTCAAGATCCAGGGCATCAAAGATGGTTATAATTTCAAAATAGTCCACACTGTAGTATAAGTTTTACAGCACCACAGACATCATACGTTTAGATATCTTAGTCTGGCAATATTTCATTTAGAAATATTAACCAATAAGAATGTGTGAATGTCAAACATTTAATAGGAAGTCATAGTAGCATTTTTAAATGACCAAAATAATTAATAAGCACTTTTAATGTTTAAATTGTTAAACATTTAAACTGTCAAAGTCACCAGGAAAAGAAAAGTCACATACATTTTTACCACCCAAACGAAAACACACAAATCTTCAGACAGATACTGAGACACTTGGGATTTTTCCTTTTCTTTTTTAAAGAAATTATATTTAGTTTGGCCACTCCCTAGATTCTTGGTTTACCAGCTTATAAACAGTACATCTAAGAGGCAGTATAATATACACATCAAAAACCATTTCACCCTTATCATCTTTGGCTAGAAGCCTCATGTCAGGAAGCTGAACATGGCCGAGGCAGGGCAAAGGCCACATGCTTCCTTCTCACACGTCACTGACCGGAAGGCTCACATCATCCAAGTCCACTGGGTCACAATCTTTTTCCTGAGGGCCATTTTTACTTTGAGGTTTTAGCAAAGCTTGTTCAGTCACTTTGGAAGCTGGTTCTCTTGGAGAGACAGTCTGGATCTTGAAGTTCCCTGGCTTGACCTTGGTAAGAGAGTCGTAAAATCCTCGCTTCTCCATGGAAAAGCTTGAGACCAAAGAGTTGCTGCGAGAGGCTGTGGAATGTGAGGCGGTGGCTGCTGCGCTGGCAGGACGGAAAGTGTGCTTGGGTTCTGAAGGACAGTGGGGCTGCTCCTGGAGAGAGGAGAAGCGGTCAGACACAGTCAATCGCTAGGGACGAGAGCGCAACTCCGTGAGAGGCTTGATTCTCTGAAAACACACACACAAACACACACACACACACACACACACACACACACACACACACAAAGCAGAAGCACGAGCCATGCAGCATACATGAGCAAGTTCCTTCCCAAAGCAATGCATTTTCAGGGGTGAGTTTAAAGCAACGACAGCCAACAACCATTTCTACTAAGAAACCAGTTCTGTCACCAAAGCTGAATTTGGCAGCTTATGACACTTTGAAGACTCAGCCAGTCTCAACTAAAATACAGTGTTCCAATTGCAACTGAAGTGTCTAAAAGGGAACCTATCTGCTTTGTTGTTTTAACAGTTTTTCTCAATCAACTCTAAAAATTATCCCGCATATTTCAGAAAGATAAAAAAATGAAAATGCCCGATACAACAATGAAAGGCCATATTTCCTTAATAAGCAGGAATCAACATTTTTCACATATCATTTTGCTGTCAGTCTGACAAAACTTAGTTTTTGCTTCCCTGAATTTCACTGTAACCAATAACAGCAAAGTCTTTTCACTTTTTAATTTCATTTATTTAGTTTTAAATATGTCATATATTCATACGGTTTCAGATTTTACTTTAAAGGTAACAGTTAAGGATACCTATTTAATTTTTTAAACTAGTGAAATAATGATCACTTGCAAATTTCAATATGCTTCTAACTAGATCAAATTTGAAGATCTCCTTAAATATGACTCCAACTCAAAAAAAAAAAATGACCATTCTAAATGCACTGCCATCTAGTTCCTAATATATTGAGTCCATTTATGATACTAGTGGCTTTGAAAACAAAGTGCTACAAATTACCAAAATACTATAGAGCCCTATTTGATGGCTAAATTGCAACAAAGATTTCAAATGCCATGCAAACTATAGTAATATACAGTTTATCCAATGCATTTGCATGCATGAGTCTGCATATATTATTAGGACAAAGGTGCATCTCTTAAGTGTAGTATTTTTTAAAGTCTCAAAATAAATGAAGTATAGAAATGGAAACTCTTGCAGCAATTCAGTAAATTAATTTTTAGAAGCTAGCTTATGTCTCTTTCCATTAGTAAAGTTGTATTTTTTTAATCTTGGTTTTTAAAATACACATATCCAACCTGATGACTACAGTGAAATAGTTTGCGTTAGTATTGACAAAATCAGTTATGATAACTGCAAAAGGCAGTTTGGTTAACTCAACTTTCTATGATCAGTTGTAAGTAGTGAGTAAGTATGGGCCCTCTACTAAGAAGGCACGTTTGCGTGAGAGCCCACATACGTGCTGCATTCACCAGTTCTTGATGTATACCTCTGTATACAAGGGTTCGACAGCCTTCTGGCCTGCCGCATCTGGAACACAGTGCAAAGCTAAGATTAGAGTTAACCTATACTGGGGAGAGGGAGGAAAAGAGCAAGTTCTGCTGATAGTCAAAGCTAGATAGTCCAATTTGCCCCCACCACAAAGCACAAAACACAAACACCCTTCTCCAACTTTTCCTCTTGCCAAAAGACACTGTTTTTGCAGAGAGTCTCATCTTTGACTGTTGAAAAAGTCACATAATATACAGAAGTTACAAAATTAATACCTATGAAGTGACTTCGTAGATATTCCAAAAAGATATAAGTTAAATGGGTTAAACAAGAAAGGAGAAAAATTAATTTCTATGTATTAATCTGTATTTATCATTACCTGGAAATTAATAAAAGGTAGTATTATAATATTACTACCAGGAACAATACTAAAAGTACAAATCCCTAGCATTTATAGTAAACCTAGATAATAAAGCTAGTATGCTATATAAGAGACAGAAGGTATTCTATAGATGGTGGTACTACATTTTAAGTACATTATAGTTTTTCATTCCCCTGTAGAATCTGTATTTTCACATCAGAGATCAGTAGCCAAAGTATTTCAAAGCCAAATCTAATTCTTATTATGTACTTGAACATAATAAATTTAAAATTTTTTCTTGTTATTTCTCAGTAGAATGTTGCTTCAATTTTACTACCATACTACCACGAAGATAATTATGGTAATTTTCAGACGCAGGCTTTTAAATCAACCTGCTAGAAAATGAGAATGAAAACATGAAATGAAAAATATGAACTGGGAGCACTGAATTGCATTTAAAACTCTAGCTGCTCAGTGGTCTTATGGCACAGTTAAGCCAAAACAAAAAACCTTAACTAAAAGGAAGTAGAGAGGAAACTGAGATGTTCACAAAACTGTAATACTACAACTAAAGGTCTTACATGATTAGATCACATATCATATTAAGAATCTGTCAAATTATGCCAAATCTAGACCTACTGACAAGTTAGAATTCCTAAAATAAAGCAAGGAAATGTTTTTCTTTAGTTGCCCTGCTTGTGCATTTAACACAATACAATGCACAGAAAGTTATGTATACATAACACTACAAGAAAGCATTAAATTAGAAATGCATTATTTTTTGCAAGTCCAATTGGTATAAAAGTCAACATGCAAATAAATCTCAATAAAGAAAGAAACCAGATGGATTAGGGGGAGAAGAAAAACAACTTAACAGGATGTGGGGGCCCAAAGGAATATCACACCAGACAGCAGGAAACCTACAGAAGACGCTGATCTGCCTGGTCCCCGCTGTGCTACAATGGCTCCAGAGACTGCTTTAATCCAACTATGCATCTCTTCAGGGCTATCAGCCTAAAGGGAAAAAAAGAACTCATTCAGGTTTTCCTCAAAATTATCTTCTACTTCTATAAAGCTAATGTATTTATTTCAGTAATTTGAATACTGTCACCAACAAAGTCATTCTAAGGTAAGTGTTTCCAAAAATTTTAGAAATCATTTTTTTAAGCCAAACGTTGCTGGGCAAGTTTACCATACAGAGATATAAGCTGGGAACTTAATGTTTTAAGATGAGACACATCAAAAGTGTCAATAATAAGTACTTCCAGAGAGAAAACAAGGAGAGAAATAAGTCCAAGAAAACTTTTTTTATTTCACTCTATCTACTGCCACCATTGTCTGGGAGGCTGAGGTGAGTGGATTGCCTGAGCCTGAGGGTTCGAGACCTGCCTGGGCAGTGAGACCTCATCTCTACAATAAATCAAAAAATCAGCCCGGCGTGGTAGCGCATGCCTGTAATTCCGGCTACTCGGAAGGCTGAGGCGGAAGGAT